AGAACTGTTACTCAGGGACACAGAACTGTTACTCAGGGACACAGAACTGTTACTCAGGGACACAGAATTGTTATTCAGGGACAGACACAGAATTGTTACTGAGGGACACAGAATTGTTACTGAGGGACACAGAATTGTTACTCAGGGACACAGAATTGTTACTCAGGGACAGACACAGAATTGTTACTGAGGGACACAGAATGTTACTGAGGGACACAGAATGTTACTCAGGGACAGACAGAATTGTTACTGAGGGACACAGAATTGTTACTGAGGGACACAGAATTGTTACTCAGGGACAGACACAGAATTGTTACTCAGGGACACAGAATTGTTACTCAGGGACACAGAACTGTTACTCAGGGACACAGGGAACTGTTACTCAGGGACACAGAATTGTTACTGAGGGACACACAGAATTGTTACTGAGGGACACAGAATTGTTACTGAGGGACACAGAATTGTTACTCAGGGACAGACACAGAATTGTTACTCAGGGACACAGACACAGGATTGTTACTGAGGGACACAGAATTGTTACTGAGGGACACAGAATTGTTACTGAGGGACACAGAAGTGTTACTGAGGGACACAGAATTGTTACTCAGGGACACAGAATTTTTACTCAGGGACAGACACAGAATTGTTACTGAGGGACACAGAATTGTTACTCAGGGACACATAATCGTTGAATTAAAGAGTATGTCAGACAACATGCAGAGGAGTGGCAGAGGAGGCAATGTTTTAGGAGCGAGCAGACAGTGTGGCAGCAGAGGAAGGGGTCGAGGCAGCACTAGTCGCAGCCAGAGGCCAGTGCTCCCGGTGTCATCCAGCGGTCGTGTCTCCACCGACAACCCTGCCGTCATCGATTGGTTGGCTCGGTCGTCTTCCTCTTCCCAGGTCACCTCTGACACCTACAGCCAACGGTCGGTGTGGTACGTTAGACACAACCGTTAGTTGGCATGGCCCGGGAGGCAAGCCCACTGAAATCACGTGTCCTCTACCTGCCCCTGTCCTTTGCTGTTCCCTCACCAAGCGAAGTATCGCATGCTGTGGGCTCAGCCCCACTGTACAGTGAGGAAGAGCTAACAGAGGGCGGTCAGGAACGGGGGGGGGAGACATCCGCCTCTTCAGCAGCCAGGCGAAGAAGTACTGGCGAGGAGAGTGGCTCGGTAGCCGGTCTAGAGACAGGTCTGTCTCCTGACCCACACGCAGCCGAGGGGGCTAGTAGTGAGGCGGAGACCCTAATTGATGATGATGAGGCTGATCGCACTTGGCAGCCTCGTCGTCATCAGGCAATTTCTTCCGCATCATCAGGAGAAGAGGGTGCCAGCTTGGCAGCGAGCAAAAAAACAGTCGGTGGGTTGCCCAGGAGGCAGCAGGGTCGCAGCAGTGTCAGTGGAGGCAAACGGCCACGGAGTAGAGCACCAGCTCCACTGCAGCCTACCACCACGGCCAGTAGTGGTGCCGGTGTGCACGGAGGAAGTAGCAGTCAGCCAGTGAGGAGTAGCGGGGGCAAAGTTTCCTACTCGGGCGGTGTGGCAATTTTTCGTCAAGCCGCCCGAGGAAGTAAAACGTAGCCGTATGTCGACTATGTGGCCAGAAAGTCAAGCGTGGCCAGGGGGCCCATGTTGGGACTACAGCGTTGCGTCAGCATATGCAGCGTCGCCATTTGGTGGCCTGGGAAAACCGTGATAAAGATACGGCGGTTCTGCCTGCCCCAGCCCCCGCTCTCATCACCCGCTCCGTTACTTGCTCCGTCACCCGACGTCAATCGCCCTCTATCAGCCAGTCAAGGCTCCAACACCTCTGCTGAGGGGAGTTGTCGCTCGTTGGCATCTTCCGCTCGTTCAGATGCTCCTTCTCCTGCTACTCCTCTTCACGGATTCCGTCAGCAGTCTTTTTGGAATCCGTTTCCAAGAGACAACAGTTTGCGAGCACGCACACCCGACGGTGCAAAAGCTGAACGTCCTCCTGTCCAAGTTGCTGGTGCTGCAGTCCCTCCCTTTCCAAGTGGTGGACTCAGCACCTTTCCGAGAAATGATGGCTTGTGCCGCGCCGCGGTGGAGAGTGCCAAGCCGGCATTTCTTCGCCAAAAAGGCAGTGCCAGCCCTGCATTCACATGTAGAAGAGATGGTGGGCCAGTCTTTGAGCATGTCGGTCTCTGCCAAAGTGCACGGCAGCGCCGACGTGTGGAGCTGTAACTACGGTCAGGGACAGTACATGTCATTTACGGCCCACTGGGTGAACGTGGTGCCGGCACAGCCGCACCAGCAACTTGGACAGGTCACGCCGCTTTTGCCTCCACGTTTGCACGTCCTTGGTCCAGCAAAGATGTCCGCCTCTACCACCTCTTCTTCCGCCGTGTCCTCAGCCGCCACCCCCCGTGCCAAGTCCCATTACCCGACCGGCATATCACATGTGCAGGGCGCAACGGTGTCACGCTGTGCTGCACCTGGTATGCCTTGGCGAACGTAGTCACACAGGGGAGGAACTTCTGAGTGTAATGAACAGAGAAATCGACAGATGGCTGTCTCCGCGCAAACTGAAAATCGGAACATGTTGACCGACAACGGAAAGAACATGGTGTCTGCTCTGCGTCAAGGAAGGTTGTGCCATGCGCCATGCATGGCTCACGTGTTCAATCTGGTTGTCAAGCGGTTCCTAAAATCCACCATCCCACTGCAAGACATCCTTAAAATGTCACGTAAACTTTGCATGCATTTCAGCCATTCCTACACCGCAAAGCACACCCTCCTTGAGCTGCAGCGGCAGAACGGAATTCCACAGCATCGCCTGATCTGCGACGTTGCAACAAGGTGGAATTCAACCCTACACATGTTAGACCGCCTTTACGAACAGCGAAAGGCCATCACCCGATTTCCTGATGATGTTACAAGCGGATAAAGGTACTCCCCTGTGTAACTTAGATGTCAGCCATTGGCAGCTCATGCGTGACACCTGCCGCTTGCTCAGGCCCTTTGAGGAGGCCACGCTATTCGTGAGTCGGCAGGACTATGGGATGAACGACGTCATTCCTCTGTTGCACGTCCTGGAACAAATGCTGTTAACAATGGCTGGTCAGGGTGCGGTAGACGTGGCGCACAGATCTCAACGCCACATGACCCCTGTGGGGGCAGGACAGGAAGAAGAGGAGGAGGTAGAGGAGGACATTGGTGCTCAGGAATTATTGAGTGAAATGGGTGGTTTTTTTCCACTCAGCGGACAGGAGTGGAGGAGCAGGAGCATCTGGTAGAGGAGGAGGGAGGAGGAGACAGAGGACCCAGACGCACCGTGGCAGTATGCTGTGGAGATGGAGGCAGGGAGTCCCTCGCATTCCTTGGCACAAATGGCCCATAGCATGCTCGGTTGCTTGCGTAGCGACAGCCGAATAATAACCATCAGACAGAGGGATGACTTTTGGCTGTCCACCTTGTTGGACCCTCGCTACCGTCAAAATGGTGGTGGCCTTTTTCACACCTGCTGAGAGGGAGGCCAAAATAACGTACTATAAAAACCACCTATGTAGTCAGTTGGTCTCTGCCTTTCTGCGCCAACGTCCATCCTCAGACACTGTGGGCCCTGTGCGCTGCGCGTTCCGCTGCCATGGCAGCAGGGGAGGGGTGGGGTGGTAGGAGCAGTGGCAGCTCCACCAGCAGCGGCTGCCTCAGTCTGCAGTCGATGATGATGAGTAGCTTTCTTCACCAGCGCAGTGAGGGAAACTACTAACCAGCCGCAGCAGCAGCAGCAGCAGCAGCATCAGGTGGACCTGGAGCAGGAGCTCAAACAACAGGCTTGGGCCTACTTGGACAGCACCCTGCCAACCGAGGTAGACAATCCCCTTGACTACTGGGCAACGAAACTTGACCTTTGGCCCCAACTAGCTGAATTTGCCCTTGAAAGGCTGTCATGCCCGGGCCAGTAGCGTGGCATCGGAGCGCGTGTTTAGTGCGGCAGGAGGTATTGTAACTCCGCGGAGGACACGACTGTCCACCCAAAGTGTGGAGAGACTCACGTTTGTGAAAATGAATCAGGCGTGGATTAGTCTGGATTTCAAACCACCAGTTCCTGACACAACTGACTAAATCCGCCATGAATCATGCCCCTGCCATGTGCCACTTTCAGGTCTCCTCACACTCCTGCTGGTGTGTTCCATTTTTTGTCATAGGGTGCTGGCAGATTACGGGCCTCCCATAGCTGCTGCCAGGCCCCTAATCTGCCATGGGCCCCCGTACCGCCTCCTCATGCTGCTGCCAGGTCCACAGTGTCTCATGGGTCCCTGTACCGCCTCCCATTGCTGCTGTCTCCATCGCCACACTCTGCCATGTGCCACTTTCAGGTCTCCTCACACTGCTGGTGTGTTCCATTTTGTCATAGGGTGCTGGCAGATTACGGGCCTCCCATAGCTGCTGCCAGGCCCCTAATCTGCCATGGGCCCCTGTACCGCCTCCTCATGCTGCTGCTGCCACAGTGCCAGGTCCACAGTGCTGTCTCATGCCATGTGTGCCACTTTCAGGTCTCCTCACACTGCTGGTGTGTTCCATTTTGTCATAGGGTGCTGGCAGATTACGGGCCTCCCATAGCTGCTGCCAGGCCCCTAATCTGCCATGGGCCCCCGTGCCTCCTCATGCTGCTTGTCCAGGTCCACAGTGTGTGCCATGTGCCACTTTTTCAGGTCTCCTCACACTGCTGCTGTGTTCCATTTTTTGTCATAGGTGCTGGCAGATTACGGGCCTCCCATTGCTGCTGCCAGGCCCCTAATCTGCCATGGGCCCCTGTACCGCCTCCTCATGCATGCTGCTGCCAGGTCCAGAGTCCTCATGGGTCCCTGTACGGCCTCCCATTGCTGCTGTCTCCATCGCCACACTCTGCCATGTGCCACTTTCAGGTCTCCTCACACTGCTGGTGTGTTCCATTTTGTCATAGGGTGCTGGCAGATTACGGGCCTCCCATAGCTGCTGCCAGGCCCCTAATCTGCCATGGGCCCCTGTACCGCCTCCTCATGCTGCTGCCAGGTCCACAGTGTCTCATGGGTCCCTGTACCGGCTCCCATTGCTGCTGTCTCCATCGCCACACTCTGCCATGTGCCACTTTCAGGTCTCCTCACACTGCTGCTGGGTTCCATTTTGTCATAGGGTGCTGGCAGATTACGGGCCTCCCCTGCTGCTGCCAGGCCCCTAATCTGCCATGGGCCCCTGTACCGCCTCCTGATGCTGCTGCTGCCAGGTCCACAGTGTGTCATCTGCCATGTGCCACTTTCAGGTCTCCTCACACTGCTGCTGTGTTCCATTTTGTCATAGGGTGCTGGCAGATTACGGGCCTCCCATTGCTGCTGCCAGGCCCCTAATCTGCCATGGGCCCCTGTACCGCCTCCTCATGCTGCTGCCAGGTCCACAGTGTGTCATGGGTCCCTGTACGGCCTCCCATGCTGCTGTCCATGCCACACTGCCATGTGCCACTTTCAGGTCTCCTCACACTGCTGCTGGTGTGTTCCATTTTGTCATAGGGTGCTGGCAGATTACGGGCCTCCCATTGCTGCTGCCAGGCCCCTAATCTGCCATGGGCCCCTGTACCGCCTCCTCATGCTGCTGCCAGGTCCAGTGTGTCATGGGTCCCTGTACCGCCTCCCATTGCTGCTGTCTCCATCGCCACACTCTGCCATGTGCCACTTTCAGGTCTCCTCACACTGCTGGTGTGTTCCATCCATTTTGTATAGGGTGCTGGCAGATTACGGGCCTCCCATAGCTGCTGCCAGGCCCCTAATCTGCCATGGGCCCCTGTACCGCCTCATCATGCTGCTGCCAGGTCCACAGTGTGTCATGCCATGTGCCACTTTCAGGTCTCCACACTGCTGCTGTGTTCCATTTTGTCATAGGGTGCTGGCAGATTACGGGCCTCCCATAGCTGCTGCCAGGCCCCTAATCTGCCATGGGCCCCCGTACCGCCTCCTCATGCTGCTTCCAGGTCCACAGTGTGTCATGCCATGTGCCACTTTCAGGTCTCCTCACACTGCTGCTGTGTTCCATTTTGTCATAGAGTGCTGGCAGATTACGGGCCTCCCATTGCTGCTGCTGCCAGGCCCCTAATCTGCCATGGGCCCCTGTACCGCCTCCTCATGCTGCTGCCAGGTCCACAGTGTGTCATGCCATGTGCCACTTTCAGGTCTCCTCACACTGCTGGTGTGTTCCATTTTGTCATAGGGTGCTGGCAGATTACGGGCCTCCCATAGCTGCTGCCAGCCCCTAATCTGCCATGGGCCCCTGTACCGCCTCCTCACGCTGCTGCCAGGTCCACAGTGTGTCATGGGTCCCTGTACCGCCTCCCATTGCTGCTGTCTCCATCGCCACACTCTGCCATGTGCCACTTTCAGGTCTCCTCACACTGCTGCTGGGGTTCCATTTTGTCATAGGGTGCTGGCAGATTACGGGCCTCCCATGCTGCTGCCAGGCCCCTAATCTGCCATGGGCCCCTGTACCGCCTCCTGATGCTGCTGCCAGGTCCACAGTGTGTCATGCCCTGTGCCACTGTTTCAGGTCTCCTCACACTGCTGCTGTGTTCCATTTTGTCATAGGGTGCTGGCAGATTACGGGCCTCACATTGCTGCGGCCAGGCCCCTAATGGCAGATTACGGGCCATACCCATTGCTGCTGCCAGGCCCTAATCTGCCATGGGCCCCTGTACCGCCTCCTCACGCTGCTGCCAGGTCCACAGTGTGTCATGGGTCCCTGTACCGGCCTCCCATTGCTGCTGTCTCCATCGCCACACTCTGCCATGTGCCACTTTCAGGTCTCCTCACACTGCTGGTGTGTTCCATTTTGTATAGGGT